AGTATTCTCTTATTTTCTCTCTCTGTAGACATCCACATATAGAATCATGTTGCCAACGACAAGTACAACCACAATTACCTCAGATCCGGGCATTCTCTGTTTTCATCACTGCAACGTGAAAGTTTTCTGCTTCACTTTGCCGCACACTTGTCCCCATTGCACTGCGCCAATGTACGCGGATGCGGATGCGGATACTGACACGGATGCGAATGCGAATACGAATGCGGATCCAAATGCGGAACTAGACAAAGCCGTCGGACCACGCCTCCTGCCCTTCCGCCTGCCATATCCTTTTGTGCGCGCCACCCAACATCCGTGCGCCATTGTCCTGCGTCCCTCCACCGGCGATTTTCTCAAGTGAGTGAAGCCGAATTGGCCAAAAAGGGTGATTTTTTGGCCAGGCTATATAAAAGTATATCTGTACCACTTTGTACTTGGGGTTGGAGTATAGTTATAACCTTCGTTGGTGGCTAAGGATTTTTTAAAAATGATTCTATTTTATAAAATAATTCTCCAATTCTTAAATGAAAACTTTAAGCGAGGACATTGTAGCAGATTACTCCTGTTACCCATTCCAATTTGCAGGACCTACATACATATCTCTGCAGAACAGAGCCAGCAAATTTTGTGCAAATTTTTTCAGGATATTTTTTTGTGGAATGGCTAGTTTGCTAGGAGTATCTGTGTTATGGCTGCAATATATATTTTTGATGCGTTCTGTTTCCGCAGCGATTACAACAACGCCACCGATTTGCATATCGCAGTGACCACATCCGGCGGCGACATCGTGGAGTTCGATCGCATTGGATTGCGCCGTCACCGGAGGGACGATAATCCGGCGGAGTGGAGGCAGTCCCTGCTTGTTGGGGATGTGCCGGAGCCGTGGCATGACTTCTGGGACGAGGTGCTGCAGCAGGTGAGCGTTAGGGTGCATTGCAGACTCTAAAATAATATGGATTAAACTTTAAAAAATTTTATAAATTTTAAAATTATTAAATTCAGAAAAGTTATATTTTGGAAGAATTTATTTTAAAGTGATTGTATAATTTTTTGGATTGAGTCACCCTTTTGAAAATTTGCGTTTCATCGAAATCCCTAAGCCCTAAGCCATTTCCCAAACCTCCCCATTTGCATTAATAGATTTGCGCCCAATCGGTGAGATGGTCCATCGCCAGCTACGAGGAGGAGACCCACAACTGCTACGCCTTTGTCCTGGCCTTCCTGCAGGCCCTCGGGCACGCCCCCTTAAGCGAGGCGGCCCGCAGCAAGACCGCCTTCTGTGAACAGTGCATCGTTCCAAGAACAACAACGGCCGGCAAGTACATTTCGCTGTACCGCAAACTCCGTCGATCCGGGGTCTACGTCCATCGCCAGCATCCCAAGAGCCGGGCAAAGCCGATCCGAAGGCCCACATCCTCCTCTGGATCCTTGGGCTCGACAAATTCCTATTCCTCGGATGTTGCATCCAAGGGTTACTCTGGCGGCGGTGTGGCAGGCCTCGGTGTTCGGACACGGCCCACCCTCTGCACCATCGAGGAGTAATTAATGCAAAGGTCCTGTGCACCAGCAGGATTCATGGTATTATGTGCATATTGCCATTGTATGAAAGGGTATTCATGCAACTTTGGCTTGAATTATTTTCCTAAAGCATCAAGCTCCATATGATCTTAAATTTAAAGTACGTGATGTTAGCTCAAATATATAAAATATTACATAAATACATATAAAATATGGTTTTTGTTCTTTGGAAGAAGAAAATCGAGGACTTTTAAAACAGGTTTGTTTGATATTTTAAATTATTTTAATAAAATATTTATCACAATTTTATTATGCATATTGTGGATGGTTATATAGATATTAATAAAATGTTATTTTTAATGGGAATGTTTGGTTTTGTTTTTAGGTTTCGATTTCCTGTTATTCTTTGGAATGTTATTATAGTGCAACAGCTTAACGACTTCGAGGGGAAACATTCTGTTGGAACATATTGTTATAGTTTCCAGGAGGATTATAGTTGCAGACCACAAATATGGTATTTCCTCTAAAGAAATGTCAGAGTTAGTTTTTACTTTGGTCAAGATGAGAATTTGATTCATTACCTTCTGGCAAACCCAACTCCCAGTTCAGTGGAATCCTTCCACACCACCTGGGTAAAGTGCCCAGTGTTCATCTGGAATGAAGGATAGTTCCAGTTGTATTGTTGGATTTCCTCGTACCAGGATCTAACAGCATCACTCCCCTCCAGATTTCCTCCAGAGGCCATGTAGATATTTTCGCCATAGCCACTATTCGGTCGATGTTGCATGCAATTTCTTGCCAATAGATACTTCAAAGAAATACATTTTAATATGAGGAATAGTATAATTTTATTATGTTTCTTACGTTAGCCCATTCGGTGGCCAATTGATTTAGTTTTGGGCTCAGTCTTAAAGGCTGGGCACCGTGCATGGCACGATATTTATTGTGAGCATCAAGCACTTCTTTTTCAAACTGAAATTTTAAAAGGGAATATTTGCTTAATTTGTGTAAATATTTAAAACTAATATCCAACAAAAAAAAAGACGTAGCAATGGAACTTCAAGATAACCATTATTATGGCACTTTATTTAAATATAATTTTTCGTTTTCATGATAAGAAGATCTCAAGCCTCAGACTTTATAACTTTATCTCAAACAGAACAGAACAACTCAGAAAAACACTCATAAATTCATAAAAATAAATCATTTATAGCATAACAAATTTTAGTTTTTTTAAGTTGAAATGTAAATATCCAAAACATTTTAGTCAAAGATTAGAGTTTTAAATTTATTGTACAATTTTCTTACTTTTTGAACACTCATTCTGTGATTTTCCTTTTTATTTTCTTTCTTACGCTTGATTGAAATTTTTTATTGATTTTTGTTAGCTATAACTCGTTTATGTTTTAGCTTATTTTAGTTTTAATTTTTTTAAACACTTTCCGCAGCAGCTGCCAGTAAGAACTGAGTGCTTCTGAGGCCTCAGCTTGGGCTTTTATGAGACCAGCCCCTATTTCTTATCAGTTGAAATGACTTTACTTTTCAAAACTGTCGCAATTCTGGACTTCCGACAAAGGCTGACTAATCGTCTCGGTTGAAAAGCCGACAATTGTGGAACAATTTAAAAAGAGACTTAATGGAAAGGGAATCATTGTAAGATCTATAAAAATGGTAAATATTATTGAAAGATTACTTGGCTATGTAAACAGTGTATCATTAATATAGGGACAGGAGATTTTGCAAAGATTGTGTGTCATGGCTGAATTTAATATATTAACATTTTTTTCCTCTGATTCACTAAAGCTATAACTTTATTTTTTCATTTTAATTATTAGTAAACGTATATGAACAACTATTTTGTTAATCCTTTAAAACCAAAAGCATCACTTTTAAAAAGCTTATCTGAAGCCATTATGCATTTAAATGCAAAATGGAAACAAAAGGAGTTCGATTCTTTTTAATAGATTTTAAATGGAGTTTCCTTGAAGGTTTATTCGCAATTCAGCTGCCTCAACTGCCTCGTCCAGATCCCAGATTCCTTGCGTCCTCGGCTTTTGTGGCTGCCACTCGCGCCTGCCTCATTAATGAACGCAATATCCCAGACAGGAGGAAAGGAGGCGATCCGGGGAAGTGACAGGAAACGGGGACACGGGCACTGGTGTAAGGATAAAATGGATGGGGGGCTCTTGGTTATGCAAAACTGTCATGAATCGGGAAAATGTAATTACATTCTCGTTGATGAAGTTGATGAGAAGGCGGCAGGCGACAGGCGGTAAGCGGCAGTCGGCTGGCAGCCTCGACATTTCATCTTGGATAGAGCGCAATACGTGCATATAAATTGTATAATGTCACCTTGGTCTCGGCCAACTTTGGCGACACGTAATTTCGAAGCAAATAAGTTTTGCCCCGTCTTAGGGCCAAAGTTTTGCTCAGCACCACCACCACCACCCACACGCACCTATTACACCATCCACTTCCTAATCATGTTGTTGTTTAGTCACCGGGGAACTGGATCAGGTATCGTTATTGAATTCAACAGTTGAGGCGGTTCCTGGGGCGACTGCAATCATTAAGTCAACAGCTCAAAATGATAATAGCCGGGCTGAAACTTTTCAATTTGTGCAGTCAACAAAATCGAGAGTTATTTAAGATGTAATTAATCAGAAAAAATAATATAAAACTTTGTATGGGTTACCATTTTATTTTCACTTTTTGTTGCAGCCTTTCATTATCATTGACTCTTTTTGGCAAGACTGTTAAAATTTGTATCCATAATAATATGCATATTCAAATAATTTGTGAAGCAATTGTATACTGAAATTCCATCACGTTCACATAAGCAATTATGTATAATACTTACAATTGAAAAACAGTCGCTGTTCCATCTACAACGCTTTGAGTCACTTTTGGATTTTAAAGTAGAGCACTTCGCTTCAATTTTACTGCCTTGATCTCAAGGTCTTATGACAATTGATATGTAAATATGTACATACAGATGTATCTATAATCTTCCGAAAGTCAAAAGTCTCTTTTACTTTGGGTGCTATTTAGCTATAATTCGGCAATAACTTATTGATCCTATTTTGGACGGATGTTATGACCATCTTCGGGTCCTACGGTCCGCCTATAGGCTTAGTCTGCCAATAGTTGTAGCAATTAAAGTACCCGCATATCGTGAAAAAGGAGCGGCGTTTTAGGAAGTTATAGAAGTTGGCTTATGTATATAATGTACAACAACAAGAAAAATTTAGGCCACCAAATGATTTTGTGTTTGCAAAAAAAACTATATTTTTCTATAAATCTTTGTTTAAGTACGAAATTCTTCATTTTTCCCTGAGTGTACTTTTGCTGATAATATGTTTGATTTTTTTCCTGACGTACTGTCTTGCGAGGTATTATAATTTCGACTTTGATTTGTCAGCATGTACTTTATTGTTTGGTAATTTTCCCATTAGTCAAGACCCCGATAAACTGATTTTTGATTTTTGAACGGAAGTACGAAAATTTATCGAAAACACCTTGAAATTAGTAAGTGGGTGGGTGTGTCTAATGTGGTAGCAAAATTTCCACATGAGTCAGGCCCCCTGTAGAATCGATTGATTGAAAAGACTGGCGCCATTTAGCAGCTTAGTTTGTCTGGGTTATGCTTGTTATCTAATTAAAATTTATAAATAGACATTCAACATAAATTCGTAAGAGAAAGGAAAACGTGTCAAAACAGCCTGGTGCTGGGGGCTGTTGAAAAATCAAATTGAAAACCCAACTAGAAGGGACCTTGAGGGGCATTTAAAAGCGAAATTCTATTTCGTTTCAACCCCTCGCTCGCTCAGCACTTTTTGCATTTTCTGCATTCCTTTTGTATTTGGCTTGGCATTTTGCAATTTGGCGAACTTTGTACCCGAGTGGCGCCCGAGATTTGACCAAGTTGGCGAACAGTTTAGAGCCGGCGTCATGGTAATGATGTGGATGCCTTTCTATGGCTGCACCACCAAACCAATCTACTTTTTATTTTCCTCGCCCTACCCAGTCTCTTTCTAACCCGAAACCCTAGCTCCATTTGACACGTTTCCAGCATTGAAAATCTCAACTAATGTCAAACGCTTTGTTGTCAGGAAGAATGGGGATAACGTTGGACCCACTTAAGTTAGTAGTTGAACATTTATCAAACGGATGTATTAATAACAAGAAGTGCATTTCCTTTGTTATTCATGTTGCAATCGATTTTGTTTTCTAAGGGATTCCCATTGCAGCTTTCGAGTAATCCCTTGACAAGCAAACACTCTGCTTAGAAATTATTCAAAAGATAAGGTTTATTTGAGTCCCCCATCGTTATCGGGTGAAAAGCAAATATTAACAAGCCATTGACGATTCAATTTGATTTGTTATGATAACAGTACGAACTGATAGCAGCTAAATTCATTCATACAGCGAACTCAGCTTATTTACTATTTCCATTACTCACACTTATCGCTATATTTTATTGCACGTGACTAAACTTTGATTTTATAAAGACCCAATTAGTTGAACAAGTTTTTTTTAAAAAGAAAATTAAGTAAGGCACTTATAAAGTGAAATTTCAGTTTAATGACAATGACCACTTATCTAGGAAAGTTCAAGTTTATTTTGTTAGATTTGTTATCGCTTAAACAAATGTTTATTTATAGTTAAATCCTCGTTATCGGTCTGTCAAAAACATATCAGTCAAGGGCAAGGCATGGGGCTGTTTTAGAAAAATTTTCTTTTTAACTTATGCAAAGTTGCTGGATTCCTACAGGAGCACATTTCTAGATGCATCTACCTCAGGAATGAAAGGTGTACAGGCATTAAGTTATTTTTTGTAATTAAACATGATGTTGCCTATTGAATCTATATCTAAAGAATCTATAATATAGATGTTGGATTACAAACACCATATTTTATATAAAGAAACCAAGAAACTGTTTTTAAAACGAATATATCTTTTGTCAAGATTCCTGATCTATTCCAAAACGTTTGAGGAAAAAAGCTGAAACGTTTATTTTTCATCTGCCCTCTCTTTTTATCTACACTCACCCGTCTCTTTCTTCCTTTGCACACTTAACTCTCAACACGGCGACCAGAGGAGGCGCATAAAAAATGTATTCACACAAATTTCTTGTGTCAACTTGAGTTTTTTAGCGAATTAGCAATTTGTGCAGTGGTCACAGTGGAAATTTTATACCAAATTGCAAATTCGTGTTGACTTTGTTTCAGTAAATTTTCCACCTCGTTTTTTTCGCTTGTCTTTTTCTTTTTTTTTCGTTTTTAACTTTCTTTTTGGCCATCTCTCTTTCGGCCGAAGGGCCTGGCTGTGTGTTGACTTAATGGAAGTGCAAATAAAAAGTGAAGTTTAAGCGGATATACATAGCTGGCTCTGCTTTTAACTGATAAGTTCTATAAGTTTTAAATACAAACAATATAGTTCAAGCTCAGCTTCAGTATTAATTGTCAACTCATCTGTCTTCATTTGTCGGTTGTGTGAAAGTCTGTTGAAATGCCATGCATATTAAGTGGGAAATTTATAAAAACACATAACGATAAATGATGTCATTTAATTGTCACTGAATTCTGGCACTGACAGCCGTTGGCATTTTCCGATTTTATTTTGAAAGATTTATTGATATTAATCGTGTTGAAAATTCTCAAATATACTTGTAGTATTCAAATTTTTGTGTTAATTTATATTTTTTATACCCTTGCAGACGGTATTATAGTTTTGGTCAAAAGTGTGCAAGGCAGTGAAGGAGACATCTCCGACCTTATAAAGTATATATATTCTTAATCAGGATCACCTCCTGAGTTGATATAAGCATGTCCGTCTGTGCGTTTCTCCGACGCGTCGGTCCGTCTGTCTGTTTCTACGCAAACTAGTCTCTCAGTTTTAAAGCTATCGACTTGAAACTTTGCAGACACCCTTCTTTCCTTTGCACGCTGAATATAAGCCGGAACGACCGGGATCGGCCGACTATATCCTATAGCTGCCATATAACTGATTGATCGGAAATGGTATAACTTTGGTGTTTTTAGAGTTAGAGAGTTCAAATTTAACATGAGAGCTATTTTTGGCAAAATAATACGACATGCCAAATTTCATAAGGATCGGCCGACTATATCCTATAGCTGCCATATAACTAAACGATCGGAAATGACCCAACTTTCGTGTTTTTGAAGATAGAAATCTGGAACTTAATACAGATTCTATTTTTGGTCAGATTATTCGACCTACCAAATTTCATAACGATCGGCCGACTATATCCTATAGCTGACATATAACTGAACGATCGGAAATGGTTTTTGGTAGAAATACCAACTTTGGTATT